GTGTCCCAGCCACCTGCAGATTTATCAGCAATTCTGATAATATTTCTATAAAATACCTTCTTTTTAAAGGCTTCAGATTATTTAGGACTTTATTCTGCTCGCCCCTTTTAGTAGCCTCTCTAACGTCGTCCAAATCCTCAATAACGTGAAGATTGAAAATAAACTGTTCCTTGTTACTCCGATATTTGAAGTCATTGGATGACGAAACGTCATTGAAACGCTTGAGTGTGGAAGTCAAAGAAGAGTGTAATTCTTCTCTCAATTCTCTTTTCAATGATTAGAAATGCTTGTCGAAATAAGAGCGCATCAAACCAAATTGCTCAATGAAAGATTCATCTATAGTGCCATCTGTATTCTCATTTCTATCACTGAAGGACGAACTATCTTTCTAATTTAGCCATTCATGAAATCGTAATGTATGTGTTTACTGCACAATGCAAGGACTTCGAAAAAGGTAAAAATCCTTGTTTTGTAAAAAAATGCTAAACGAAGTTAAACATCTATTAACAAAACAGAACAAAATGAAATTTTTAACGATTTTATTGTCTATCTCATCTCATTTAGACATACATAAATGGGTTTTTCTCTTTTTTTTGCAGATCCAGTCCTTATGTCCAACAAAAATGTTGGAATAAAAGGTAGCAGAATTTCTTTAATTTAATGGATAAGCTCACCTGACCACGAACTTGTCAAGGTGAGGTATAGTAATGGGGCTATGTCAGGCGTCCGTCATCGTTCTTCGTCAACAAATTGGTTGTTATCATTCTAGCAGTCACAGTTTTGATTGCATCGTCAACAAACTTTGTCAGAACGTTTGTCTCAACTAAATACAGGTCACGTTCGAAGATGGGTCATCTTCGGTCAAAAAATAGGTCACACGAGCTAAAAATAGAAAAAGCTTGTTGACACACTAGTTGCTGCAGTTTTGATCTAGAATTCCCTGAAATCAGTCAGAAAGGTTGTTTTGGTGATTTCTAGGTCCAGTTCGAATTATGGGTCATCTCCGATGAAAATATGGTCATAATGACCCTCAAATTGTCCATACAAACCATGCCTGGCAGTTTTCCAAAAAAATCTTGTTAACACTCTAGTGGCTGCAGTTTTAATTCAAATATTCTGGAAATTTGTTAGGTAGGTTGTTTTGATGATTTCTAGATCAAGTCCGGAGATGGGTCATCTCGGTTTAATAACTAGGTCACAAGAGTTAAAAATAGAAAAGGCTTGTTAACACTCTAGTGGCTGCAGTTTTGATCCAAATATTTTGGAAATTGTCAGGAAAGTTGTTTTGATGTTGTCTAGGTCAAGTTTGAATATAGGTCATCTCCGATCGAAAACAAGTTTACAGGAGCTAAAAATAGAAAGATCTTGTTAACACTCGTGTGGCTGCAGTTTTCATTCAAATATTTTGGAAATTTGTCAGGAAAGTGTTTGATCAATTCTATTTCAAATTCGAATATAGGCCGTCTCCTGTCAAAATCTATGTAGCAGGTGCTAAAAAGGGGAAAATCTTGTTAACACTCTAGTGGCTGCAATTAGGATCCAAATATCACCGAAATTGATCAGGAAGATTGTCTTAATGATTGTTAGGTCAAGTTTGATTATCACCTAAGATCAAACACTAGGTCACACTGCCCAAATATGGAAAACACTTGTTAATACTCTAATTGTAACACTATGACTCAATTGACTCGATCAAACTTGGTAAGGATGCTTGTATAGTTAATTGCTTGGGGGACATCGAATATGGGTATCTCTGGTATCTCTGATGAAAAACTAGGTCACAGGTGCTAAAGATAGAAAATCTTATGAACTCTCTAGTGGTTACTGTTGTTATCCAAATATCGTGGAAATTAATTGTTACCTGTGATCAAAACTAGGTCACACTGCCCAAATATGAAAAAAAGACCTTGTTAACACACTAGAGGTCACATTTTTGACTCGATTGTCATCAAACTTGGACTAGATGCTTGTCTAAGACATTGTTCGGATGTGGTTGATTGGTCAAGGGAGCGATCTAGGGCCATCTGGGCCCTCTCATTTTATTATTTTATTTATTTTCTTAAATGTGGCAGGACACTCATAAGCTTTCATAACTTTCTGCCCAATCCCAAAAGTATTTGTAAATATTGTTCATCATAATGTAAATATATCGAATATAAAATATGTTTAAACCAATTCAACTAGAGTACTGCATAAAGTATCTGGAAAACTGCCAGGCATGGTTTGTATGGACAATTTGAGGGTCATTATTAAAATTTAAGTTTGTTTGTTTGACCAGACATATGTGTCTGACACCAGAATAATGGTGCAGTGTGCCACAAGAGCAATATAGTCACCAAATGGAGGAAAGGGCATGCAATTGGGGTGTTTATAATGACGACTTCAGTCATCAGACTTTAACCATTGCAAAAATATTCAGTTCACAAATAAGAGCAATGTATTCCTGGTAAACTGCAAGATCTTGAAACAAGAAACAGTAATCTTACACACATATTTTGTTGTCTTTGTGATATGCTTATTTTGAACATGTCAGTCTATTATTCATGCTGAAAGTGCATATATTAATAATTTGGTAATGACAAACCTTTGTGAACATTTTTTGAACAAGTTTTGATTTCAGTTAATATATGGAAATAATAATAATAATAATAATAATAGTAATAGTAATAATAATAAATAATAATAATAATGATGATAATAATAATAATAATAATATAATAAAAAACAATAATAACCATAATAATAAAAATAATAATACAGTCGACTCTCGTTATCTCAAAGTCTTCGGGACCGTCAAAAAAATACCGAGATAACGAAATGTCGAGAAAAACGTTTGAGGGTTTGAACCTGTCAAAAACTAATTTTTACAGAAGAGATGCGCATACCTTCAAATAAGTACGACGTTTCATTATCTTGTGTCAATCCTTATAATAAAAACTAACAGTTCGTTACATAATTTAGCGGATGTTTACCAGCGGAAAAACAGCATTTAGGTGCTATGTGATTGACACATAGTGAGGTTTACTCAGTTAATCACCACTAAAACATACAAGTTGTTTTCTAACTTTATCTATTTAGTATTTAAACATTGCATAATAACACATATAAATTACATGAAAACATTTCATAGCAATCATTTTGTGAGAGTAATAGCACATTTATAAAAGCACACAATTTAAGAATAGTTAGCACGTTTATTTAACTTACCGATTATTTGATGAAATTCACTCATTTTCGACATAAGTCAATCAACACGCTAATTAACAATTACTTCAAAACACCTTGACTTAATTGTTACAAACATATCATCATTAATTATTACAACACGCGCTTTAAGCGATAACCGTCCGCTTGGTGTTTTTCACACCTGTTGCGGGAGGGGGTAGACGAATAATTATTTGTCGAGATAAACAAAGGATTATAGTGTGAAAATAACTGTTGGGGCTGAAATATCAAATCGAGATACTGAAAAAATCGAAATAAAAATATCGAGATAAAGAAATATTTTCAATATAGTAAAGAAGGGGGAAAAAACGGGACTTTTAGAATTTAATCGAGATAACGAAATATCGAGAAAAGCGATGTCGAGATAACGATGGTTGACTGTAATAGTTATAAAGATAATAATGATTATTATAATAATAATTATAATACTACTGATATAAATTTCATATGAATTCTTAAATTGATATTAAACAATATATAATGCTTTATAAAAATTACAGACAATTACACTTAACTGGTGTAAAAAACAAAACTATCTCAGAAATTCATAAAGCCTTTGTAAATCGTCCGTTAAGTAACTTACAAGAGGTGTGAAGGTATTCATGTATGGTAATGGATAGCATGTCCGCCCATTGTACTCAACAGTGAAAACCTTTTTTCAACTACTACAAAGTAATAAAAAACTGGACCATACATATTTTCATACACAGATTCGGCTATTATGAGATATACTTAGATTTATCATTTAATGTAACTAAGCTTGCCTCGATTTAAGTACTTTATCCGAGCAATCCGGCGGCCATTAATTAAGCCCAAAGTCACATTGTCATGTCAGCACATGCAGTGTGTATACATATAGTCTGATTTTATTGACCTGTCAATTAAGAATACATTACAGGACTCATTTAAATATTCGATCCCACTTCGGTTTGGTCCGTGTAGTTTACGAGAATCAATGTGGAGTATATTAGTCATGGATTGTAAGTCACGCCAGTTTAATGTGAAAGTTTTCGTTAATTCACAATAGGACAGTCGGTAAAGAGAATGCCTGATAATTGAGAGGTCTGTGGTTCGATCCTTACTGTTGCCATTTTTTTAGTACTCTTTCTTTATTTTTGCAGTATATTTTAATGGAACAGATTTGAAGTGTGTTTTACGGCATTGAAAAGACATTTATTGATTTTAATCCGTTTCAATTTTAAACATGAATTCTTAAAAACATGTTATTTAAAAAGAGTATATACATAACAAAATTAAGTAAAACATAATAAAAAACGAACAACATAAAATAATCATAAATAGATTTAATAATGTTGAAAGTATTAATAAGAAGAAAAAAAAACATGGACCAACGCGGCCTCGAACTTAAAACACATGTGGCAATTAGATTATAAACTCGTGATTTACCCTATTGCACTATAACGCTGAGTACACTTAGTTTAGAGATATAAATTAAATTAAATTCCATCGTACAGCGTACATCTCACGGAACTTACCGAACATCTACCGAAGATTAATATACTGTGTGCATCGACCGTGCAATCAGTATGTAATTGACAGGTTAATAAAACCAAACAATACAAATGAAAAATAACAGGCCGATAATAGGAAAAATCAAGAAACACGAGAAATCGATATAATAGTGGAATACAGACTGTCAAAATGGTTTTATAACATCATCTCGTATTGTTTTGTTTTTTTTTTGTTTCAGAAACTATAATTCTTTCTTTATCAGCATTATACTTTACATTCTTATCAATTTAAAACTATTTTACCTCCTAAATCAACAATCATATAACGTGTGCCCACAGCTGAAATTCCAAAGGCGTTCGTTTCATTGCAACGTTGGATTTCTGTTTTTATTCCCTGACACCAGACTGACGCTGCCTCGGGCTCGAGTGCTATTACTAGCTGATCATTTGGAATCCCAGCCTGAATTGCAAGAACAGTAATACGTTTTGAAAACATTGTCGAGTATTAAAGTTTACATCTGCAATGAAAACGTGTACATTGGTTACGCAACTTTTATTACAGGGAACAATTAATCTTAGTCCAAACAAGTAAACTGCTGAAAACGTTGAATTATTCTTATAATAAGCGGATGTTAGGGGCGTGGATGATAGATTGCAGTAATCACTTCCATCTATGAACAGGCTAAACCTAAAGAGCCCGCAACATTATGAATTTTGACGTTTAAAGCGTTCTTTTTAAAGGATTCTATTTTTCTCTGTTGATTTAAAATGTTGCTGGCTCCGCATAGTTGTAAGTACAGAGATACATTAACGCCCTTAAAAATTCACTAAGAGCGGTGGATGCGATGGTTATGTAACATTTCACGTGAAATTGTCGTGCCAATACATATAAATGGCGTATTGTCCCTCAGTAAACAAGAACCGGTTAAACCGGGTAATGCTCCCCGAATAGCTTCTGGACACAGGAAAGTATATTTTGTAGTGTCAGAGTTATGTCACAGACAAAAGTACAAAGTTCAAAGTGTAAAAAATGAACAAAGGGCAATAACTCCAAAATTAAACAAAGCAGCACTTCTATTCAATGAGTTCAATATTCCTATGGTGATATCTCTTATGGTTTCCTATGGTGATATCTCTTATGGTTTCAGAGTTATGTCGCGGACAAAGTAAAAAGTGAAAATATTAACAAAGGATTAAAAACTCCAAATTAGGCAAGACAGATTTTATGGTTCTTTTGCACTGGAGAACTAACTACTTACAAAGTTTCATGTTGATATCTCTTAAAGTTTTAGAGTTATGTCCTAGACAAAGATCAAAGTGTAAAAATGAACAAAGGGCAATAACTCAAAACTTAGGCAAGTATTTTTGCACTGCCATTCTACTCAATGAGATCTATCTACCTACAAAATTTCATGTTTATACATTGTACCTCTATAGTTTTAGAGTAATGTCTCGGTCAAAGCTCAAAGTCTAAAAATGAACAAAGGGAAATAAGTCCAAAATAAAGTAAGGGAGAGTTATGTTTCTTTTGCACAGCACTTCTACCTAATGAGATCTATCTACCTACAAAGTTTCACGTTGATACCTTGTTGTTTCAAAGTTATGTCCCGGACAAGAATAAGACGGACGGACAAAGCGCCTTCCGGGAGCATAAAAGTGTATGTCTTCTACAATCAACAACCTAATTTTACAATTTGAGAAACGATTAGAATAAATCATGTTTAACAAATATAATTTTAATTATCTATGCATGTTAAACTCATCAAATATGATAGCATAGGTGTTCAAGGAAAAATGACGTTTACTGAATACAAACCTTACCAAACCAAGCACCAACGCCTCGAAACCCATTAGAGAAAAAAACAGGATAAAGAAATAGAGCGATTCAATGACAAAGCGTTTCAATATGAAATACAGCAGACGAATGAATATTTTAATTTTTATTGATTATACCTATTTATGATTTTGATAGATAAATCATGTAAAAATGTTGATGTTTCTCAGACTTTTAACAAAGTTACAAATACAAAAAAGCTACTTCAGCACCGCAAAGCATCTAATTCATCCAAAATAAAGAAATACCTCAACCGCTGCTTCTCGCATAAATCTTTTAGCCATGTCATCCCAAATAGCAGGAACAGTTAGAACGTAAGTCACATCAGTGTTCTTAAAACTAGGTACCCTATTCCGAATTGTTTCCGTAAAGTTGTCCTTTAGAAACTTTATAGCATTAGCAAATACCACTAGTGCTGGCATTTTTCTTCCTGATATGTCCTCGATTGTAGTATATCGATTCAATTTCTGTTAGAAGAAAAGTTCCGCATATTAAAAAGTTTATTCTTGATATATTCCAGACTTACATTTATATAGTTTCATTGCTTTATGTTTTTAGGCAAAAAGAATTCCAAAGTTTGTGTAGATTTAAACATCATGAACTTCAATTTAAGGCTCCTTAATATATATTCCATTGTTTTTTTAATGCATAATTATTAGGTATGGTCAAAAACTACTGTAAATCCAAAAACAAAAAGGTTGATCCATTTGTTATGTAGAGTATAGTTTATGATACTGTGTCTATAAAGCAAGTTTTGTATTTAAATAAATGCTATGAATGCTTGTTTTTGAGCCTTTGAGATCGACTTATTATGTACAATCTTGTTTATCATATGAACACAGATCTGTATGACCAAAGATGACAGAAAATGTTTACGTTAAAATATAAATGTTTTGAAAAATATCTTGCCTGGTCGTTAAACAATGCCATTTTGAATCTTCGAAAATAATACCAGCCATGCTGCTCATTGTCCCCAACTAGGCGTACAAATTCTGTTTCTGCTTCATAACCAAAATATTTAAACTCTTTTTCCGGTGAAAAGAGAAGACAAGATGACGTCTTTAGGGACGCAAGGGACCCATCGCCAGCAAACCATGTCTGATTTGCATAAACCTTCTCAGGTTCATTAAGTGTAGAATATGCCCAGCCGCTGAATGTTGTCCCTATATCAATTGCAGTAACAATTAACCGTCGCTTCACATGAGTTGCTTTTGACGAATCAGTTGCCATTTGTGCCTGATGAAAGATGAAAGCTATCTGCTTAATCTAAACAATTAATAACCTTCCTTACGTTAACATTTACAATCGACAGCGACTACCAGGTAAATAACTAATTTGATTTAAACATTACATACCCTAATGAAAATTTTACATTTGGAAGCCTTTGGGTTTTCTTCTACCTGAAACATACAGTTATAGAAATAAAATGCTTCCAATTGTTTCAGGTTTTTTTTTAAAGGAAGGAATCTTCAACAATCGGAACGCCTCGGGTTTTATTTATTAAAAACCTCGGATATAATACGTATTAAACGCAGTTTTTACTACGTAGTTTTCGATACAAACAAAAATAAAATTCAATGTGTAATATTTGATAATGTATAAAGAATGTATATATTTGTCATCCAAAGGGAAAAGAAGCCTATTTCACTAAAAGTATGATTATGAAAAGTGTCTGACAATCATAATTTAAAAATGCCCACTGATAGGCAATTATTACCAAACCTGAAAAAAATATCAACATGTAAACATTTTGTACTTACGGTTATACAACCATTATAAAAGGAATCTAAACATTATTCTATTTTTATGTGTAAATTTACTTAATTTAGGTAGACTTTTTTCAATATAAGAAGTATAAAGCTCCCAGCATTAAATTGATCTTTGTTTTCATTGTTAGTTTCTTAGTGTAGGTTAGACCTAAAAACCGTACTTATTTTGTTTATTCTTACTATTGTTTCAAGGTCCCTGTCTTAAGATTGACGGATAGGGTCGAAAAATGCGATTAATGTTTCAATACCTCATCGCTCTGGCTTACAAATTGTTTAACTTTAAACTAGAACTGTCGCTGAATGCAATTCATACCCTACCAATGTCCTTGACAGAAGACGACTTTGAAAGGCGGTTAAGGGAATAACTTTTGTAGCACAAGTACATACACAAAAAAGTAATGATCTCTGGTGAAAAAAAAAACAAATTGTACAGGTAATAGTATAAATATATATTGGCAAATCAGGTTCGAAACAGTTACAAAAAACTTTCATTTTCCCAATGTACTAAAACAAACAAGAGTTAAAAAGCATAATTATGTTAAAATGTAATTAACAGTGGAAAAACTTTGCATACTGAGCTTACTTGTGACCGTTTATGTATTATATAGTTTCAAGTGAATGTCTGTTCTAGTTTTAGAACAGTTAAGTATTTATGGTTATATCAGAACATTTCTAAGCCTAAAAGAGGCATAACTTGTGTCATAATTCAATGCCATTGTAGAGTTTTTGCAGATAACCTTGTTGAGGTTAACATTTGAGTTTAAAGAAAATTCTTCTATTAGTAAAGGATTTATAGAGCGTATGCAAATTTGAAGACTTAAAAAGGGGCATAACTTTGTCAAAATGTAATACAGAGTTATAAAACTTGACCTGCATATCTAAATGGTGACATTTACATATATTTAAAGTTCCAAGCAAAAACATTTTTTTCTTTCAGAAACATTCAAATACATGCTAAAATTTTCTTAGTCAATTATTTACCTTCAAGTGTGACCTTGACCTTAATCCGGCAAAGGGGTAACATGGGTTCTACAGATAATCTTGTTGAGGTGAATATTTGAGCCAAGATTGAATAAAATCTTTCAATTATTGAAGGACTAACACAGCGGACACAACATTCTGTCTAATATTTGATTGATTTATATTTGACCTTCAATTTTGATTTGACCTTGAGCTGACTCACTGGCAACAAGGGTTCGACATGCACATCCCCTAGTTGGATGAACATTTGAGCCAAGTTTGAAGAAAATCCTTCAATTGGTATAGGATTAATAGAGCGGACACGAAAATGGAGACGGACGGACGTACGGACCGACCGACGCGACTAACCGAATCCATTATAGCCCCCTCCCCCCCCTAAACACACATTTTGTGGTGGGGGTATAATAACGAAAATCATTTAACGCTACACTAGTCTTAATAAGCGTGCACTATATTTACGATGTAATCATCAATATACATATGATTACAATGGCAATTTTGTTAAAAACTAAAACAGCAGTGCAACGTCTAAAATATACTTCTGTCTGGAACAAAATGACTACATATTCAAGAGCATAACAACAACAACTAAACTGCCATAGAATAAGTTTGCTCATTTACTGAAATACACAATCAAACAAAGATATAAGAATAATACCGGTTTCATTTGAAAACAAATCAATATTGAATCACAAACAAGTACGCTAAATCTAATATATACATGTTCGATGTTTTATGAATTTAAAAAAACAGCATTCATTACATAATATGAATTTTACATAATATACAACACGAAAAATATGATAAAGTACTTACATGGATATCCTTTAAAATTTGAACTTGAACAGATAATATAATTATCTAAACTAGGTTAAACAAACAGTTTTGCTTTTCACTTCCTATTCCGATGAAATTTTACAATAACAATTGCAGGTGAATGTGCAATTAAACGTCCTACTTTTTGTGCGTTCATGCGAAAGCCATTTCTACAATGACAAATTTATTGAACAATGCAAATATTGTAAAAGGTCATGATCATTTTATAAATATAATTTTAAATCAAATGTTTATAATTTTTGCAGAAAGAATTTAATCTGATATTATGTATGTAAAACTTACATAAGAATATTTTTTTGAAAACTAAAACATTGCACTCATAATGAATACGGGAGAAGTGAATAGTGTACCGATTTACCGATTTAGTGGTGTAAGCTAACTTAAAGTACAGACAGAATTTTGTCTTACTTTGTCAGTCACATATAATAATTATATATTTATGGTCATATATATTTTATGCAACAATTTGAAGAAAAAACAAATTGCTGTTAATTTTTAGAAAAAAAAGAAGAAGAAATCCTGCATAATGTAGGGCTAAATGGCCGCTATAGTCAGGGACTACATAAAGCACCAGCAACATAAGGAACTATCCCTAACGATAAATCCGGATCGAGAGGTCGAAGGTTGGAATTGCACAGGGTGTTTATTGAAGAATTAATGTTTCTTGTGAGACTCGTTCCGAAATGACCGCTACCGCCAGGTAATTAAAATGAATGGTTACCGATTTTTATCCGCCTGGCGCCTGACATAGTGTTAGGAGTTCGGAGGTGCATGGTATGCAAGCAAAAGGTGTCTCATAAGTCAGAAATTGCTGGCCTTTTCAGTAGGGGTGACACTATAATAAACAAGACCTTCACTTTTTACCTTTTTACTATCTCCCGTTGTGCAAACCACTGTAAAATTATGTTCGTGAAGTACGCGGGCAAACGGGCTGACAGTCTGGCGGGCTAACAGTGTGAACTGGGCGGGCTAGCAGTCTAGCGGGTTAACAGTGTGAACTGGGCGGGCTAGCAGTCAAGCGGGTTAACAGTGTGAACTGGGCAGGCTAGCAGTGAACCGGGATAACAGTGTGAACTGGGCGGGCTGGCAGGCCAGCGGGCTAACATCTAAAACTTTATTGATTGAACATAAAAATGTTATGATACATTACCTGGCAGTATGAACTGGGCGGGCTAACAGTGTAGCGGGCTAGCAGTGTGAACTGGGCGGGCTGGCGGGCCAGCGGGCTAAAATTTAAAACTTTATTGATTGAACATAAAAATGTTATGATACATTACCTGGCAATGTGGAGTGGGCGGGCTAACAGTGTAGCGGGATAGCAGTGTGAACTGGTCGGGCTGGCGGGCCAGCGGGCTAAAATCTTAAACTTTATTGATTGAACATAAAAATGTTATGATACATTACCTAGCAGTGTGAATTCGACGGGCTGACAATGTAGCGGGGTAGCAGTGTGAACTGGGCGGGCTGGCGGCCAGCAGGCTAAAGTCTAAAACTTTATTGATTGAACATAAAAACGTTATGATACATTACCTGGCAGTGTGAAGTGGGCGGGCTAGTAGTGTAGCGGGCTAGCAGTGTGAACTGGGCGGGCTGGAGGGCCAGCGGGCTAAAATCTAAAACTTTATTGATTCAACATTAAAACCTCATGATACATTTCCTAGCAGTGTGAATTGGACGGGCTGACAGTGTAGCGGGCTAACAGTGTGAACTGGGCGGGCTGGCGGGCCAGCGGGTAAAACTCTAAAACTTTATTGATTCAACATGAAAACGTTATGATACATTACCTGGCAGTGTGAACTGGGCGGGCTGGCGGGCCAAGGGGCCAACGGCCTTAAATCTAAAACTTTATTCATTGAACATAAAAACGTTACGATACATTACCTGGCAGTGTGAAGTGGGCAGGCTAACAGTGTAGCGGGATAGCAGTGTGAACTGGGCGGGCTGGCGGGCCAGCGGGCTAAAATCTAAAACTTTATTGATTGAACATAAAAACGTTATGATACATTACCTGGCAGTGTGAAGTGGGCGAGCTAGCAGTGAAGCGGGATAGCAGTGTGAACCGGGCTTGCGGGCCAGCGGACCAGCGGGCTAAAATCTGAAACTTTATTGATTTACATTAAACCTCATGATACATTTCCTTACAGTGTGAATAGGACGGGTTGACAGTGTAGTGGGCTAACAGTGTGAACTGGGTGGGCTAGCGGGCCAGCGGGATAAAATCTAAAACTTAATTGATTGAACATAAAAACATTATGATACATTTCCTAGCAATGTGAATTGGACGGGCTGACAGTGTAGCGGACTAGCAGTGTAAATTGGGCGGGCTGTCGGGCCAGCAGGCTAAAATCTAAAACTTTATAGATTGAACATAAAAACGTTATGATATATTACCTGGCAGTGTGAAGTGGGCAGGCTAGCAGTGTAGCGGGCTAGTAGTGTGAACTCGACGTGCTGGCGGGCCAGCGGGCTAAAATCTAAAACTTTATTGATTGAACATAAAAACGTTATGATACATTACCTGGCAGTGTGAAGTGGGCTGGCTAGCAGTGAAGCGGGCTAGCAGTGTGAACTGGGCGGGCTAACAGTGTAGCGGGCTAGCAGTGTGAACTTGACGGGCTGGCGGGTCAGAGGGCTAAAATCTAAAACTTTATTGATTGAACATAAAAATGTTATGATACATTTCCTGGCAGTGTGAACTGGGCGGGTTAACAGTGTAGCGGTCTAGCAGTGTGAGCTTGGCGGGCTGGCGGGCCAGCGGGCTAAAATCTAAAACTTTAATGAAATGAAAAATAACAGGCCGATAATAGGAAAAATCAAGAAACACGAGAAATCGATATAATAGTGGAATACAGACTGTCAAAATGGTTTTATAACATCATCTCGTATTGTTTTGTTTTTTTTTTGTTTCAGAAACTATAATTCTTTCTTTATCAGCATTATACTTTACATTCTTATCAATTTAAAACTATTTTACCTCCTAAATCAACAATCATATAACGTGTGCCCACAGCTGAAATTCCAAAGGCGTTCGTTTCATTGCAACGTTGGATTTCTGTTTTTATTCCCTGACACCAGACTGACGCTGCCTCGGGCTCGAGTGCTATTACTAGCTGATCATTTGGAATCCCAGCCTGAATTGCAAGAACAGTAATACGTTTTGAAAACATTGTCGAGTATTAAAGTTTACATCTGCAATGAAAACGTGTACATTGGTTACGCAACTTTTATTACAGGGAACAATTAATCTTAGTCCAAACAAGTAAACTGCTGAAAACGTTGAATTATTCTTATAATAAGCGGATGTTAGGGGCGTGGATGATAGATTGCAGTAATCACTTCCATATATGAACAGGCTAAACCTAAAGAGCCCGCAACATTATGAATTTTGACGTTTAAAGCGTTCTTTTTAAAGGATTCTATTTTTCTCTGTTGATTTAAAATGTTGCTGGCTCCGTATAGTTTTAAGTACAGAGATACATTAACGCCCTTAAAAATTCACTAAGAGCGGTGGATGCGATGGTTATGTAACATTTCACGTGAAATTGTCGTGCCAATACATATAAATGGCGTATTGTCCCTCAGTAAACAAGAACCGGTTAAACCGGGTAATGCTCCCCGAATAGCTTCTGGACACAGGAAAGTATATTTTGTAGTGTCAGAGTTATGTCACAGACAAAAGTACAAAGTTCAAAGTGTAAAAAATGAACAAAGGGCAATAACTCCAAAATTAAACAAAGCAGCACTTCTATTCAATGAGTTCAATATTCCTATGGTGATATCTCTTATGGTTTCCTATGGTGATATCTCTTATGGTTTCAGAGTTATGTCGCGGACAAAGTAAAAAGTGAAAATATTAACAAAGGATTAAAAACTCCAAATTAGGCAAGACAGATTTATGGTTCTTTTGCACTGGAGAACTAACTACTTACAAAGTTTCATGTTGATATCTCTTAAAGTTTTAGAGTTATGTCCTAGACAAAGATCAAAGTGTAAAAATGAACAAAGGGCAATAACTCAAAACTTAGGCAAGTATTTTTGCACTGCCATTCTACTCAATGAGATCTATCTACCTACAAAATTTCATGTTTATACATTGTACCTCTATAGTTTTAGAGTAATGTCTCGGTCAAAGCTCAAAGTCTAAAAATGAACAAAGGGAAATAAGTCCAAAATAAAGTAAGGGAGAGTTATGTTTCTTTTGCACATCACTTCTACCTAATGAGATCTATCTACCTACAAAGTTTCACGTTGATACCTTGTTGTTTCAAAGTTATGTCCCGGACAAGAATAAGACGGACGGACAAAGCGCCTTCCGGGAGCATAAAAGTGTATGTCTTCTACAATCAACAACCTAATTTTACAATTTGAGAAACGATTAGAATAAATCATGTTTAACAATTATAATTTTAATTATCTATGCATGTTAAACTCATCAAATATGATAGCATAGGTGTTCAAGGAAAAATGACGTTTACTGAATACAAACCTTACCAAACCAAGCACCAACGCCTCGAAACCCATTAGAGAAAAAAACAGGATAAAGAAATAGAGCGATTCAATGACAAAGCGTTTCAATATGAAATACAGCAGACGAATGAATATTTTAATTTTTATTGATTATACCTATTTATGATTTTGATAGATAAATCATGTAAAAATGTTGATGTTTCTCAGACTTTTAACAAAGTTACAAATACAAAAAAGCTACTTCAGCACCGCAAAGCATCTAATTCATCCAAAATAAAGAAATACCTCAACCGCTGCTTCTCGCATAAATCTTTTAGCCATGTCATCCCAAATAGCAGGAACAGTTAGAACGTAAGTCACATCAGTGTTCTTAAACTAGGTACCCTATTCCGAATTGTTTCCGTAAAGTTGTCCTTTAGAAACTTTATAGCATTAGCAAATACCACTAGTGCTGGCATTTTTCTTCCTGATATGTCCTCGATTGTAGTATATCGATTCAATTTCTGTTAGAAGAAAAGTTCCGCATATTAAAAAGTTTATTCTTGATATATTCCAGACTTACATTTATATAGTTTCATTGCTTTATGTTTTTAGGCAAAAAGAATTCCAAAGTTTGTGTAGATTTAAACATCATGAACTTCAATTTAAGGCTCCTTAATATATATTCCATTGTTTTTTTAATGCATAATTATTAGGTATGGTCAAAAACTACTGTAAATCCAAAAACAAAAAGGTTGATCCATTTGTTATGTAGAGTATAGTTTATGATACTGTGTCTATAAAGCAAGTTTTGTATTTAAATAAATGCTATGAATGCTTGTTTTTGAGCCTTTGAGATCGACTTATTATGTACAATCTTGTTTATCATATGAACACAGATCTGTATGACCAAAGATGACAGAAAATGTTTACGTTAAAATATAAATGTTTTGAAAAAAATCTTGCCTGGTCGTTAAACAATGCCATTTTGAATCTTCGAAAATAATACCAGCCATGCTGCTCATTGTCCCCAACTAGGCGTACAAATTCTGTTTCTGCTTCATAACCAAAATATTTAAACTCTTTTTCCGGTGAAAAGAGAAGACAAGATGACGTCTTTAGGGACGCAAGGGACCCATCGCCAGCAAACCATGTCTGATTTGCATAAACCTTCTCAGGTTCATTAAGTGTAGAATATGCCCAGCCGCTGAATGTTGTCCCTATATCAATTGCAGTAACAATTAACCGTCGCTTCACATGAGTTGCTTTTGACGAATCAGTTGCCATTTGTGCCTGATGAAAGATGAAAGCTATCTGCTTAATCTAAACAATTAATAACCTTCCTTACGTTAACATTTACAATCGACAGCGACTACCAGGTAAATAACTAATTTGATTCAAACATTACAAACCCTAATGAAAATTTTACATTTGGAAGCCTTTGGATTTTCTTCTACCTGAAACATACAGTTATAGAAATAAAATGCTTCCAATTGTTTCAGGTTTTTTTTTAAAGTAAGGAATCTTCAACAATCGGAACGCCTCGGGTTTTATTTATTAAAAACCTCGGATATAATACGTATTAAACGCAGTTTTTACTACGTAGTTTTCGATACAAACAAAAATAAAATTCAATGTGTAATATTTGATAATGTATAAAGAATGTATATATTTGTCATCCAAAGGGAAAAGAAGCCTATTTCACTAAAAGTAATGATTATGAAAAGTGTCTGACAATCATAATTTAAAAAATGCCCACTGATAGGCAATTATTACCAAACCTGAAAAAAATATCAACATGTAAACATTTTGTACTTACGGTTATACAACCATTATAAAAGGAATCTAAACATTATTCTTTTTTTATGTGTAAATTTACTTAATTTAGGTAGACTTTTTTCAATATAAGAAGTATAAAGCTCCCAGCATTAAATTGATCTTTGTTTTCATTGTTAGTTTCTTAGTGTAGGTTAGACCTAAAACCGTACTTATTTTGTTTATTCTTACTATTGTTTCAAGGTCCCTGTCTTAAGATTGACGGATAGGGTCGAAAAATGCGATTAATGTTTCAATACCTCATCGCTCTGGCTTACAAATTGTTTAAACTTTAAACTAGAACTGTCGCTGAATGCAATTCATACCCTACCAATGTCCTTGACAGAAGACGACTTTGAAAGGCGGTTAAGGGAATAACTTTTGTAGCACAAGTACATACACACAAAAAGTAATGATCTCTGGTGAAAAAAAAAAACAAATTGTACAGGTAATAGTATAAATATATATTGGCAAATCAGGTTCGAAACAGTTACAAAAAACTTTCATTTTCCCAATGTACTAAAACAAACAAGAGTTAAAAAGCATAATTATGTTAAAATGTAATTAACAGTGGAAAAACTTTGCATACTGAGCTTACTTGTGACCGTTTATGTATTATATAGTTTCAAGTGAATGTCTGTTCTAGTTTTAGAACAGTTAAGTATTTATGGTTATATCAGAACATTTCTAAGCCTAAAAGAGGCATAACTTGTGTCATAATTCAATGCCATTGTAGAGTTTTTGCAGATAACCTTGTTGAGGTTAACATTTGAGTTTAAAGAAAATTCTTCTATTAGTAAAGGATTTATAGAGCGTATGCAAATTTGAAGACTTAAAAAGGGGCATAACTTTGTCAAAATGTAATACAGAGTTATAAAACTTGACCTGCATATCTAAATGGTGACATTTACATATATTTAAAGTTCCAAGCAAAAACATTTTTTCTTTCAGAAACATTCAAATACATGCTAAAATTTTCTTAGTCAATTATTTACCTTCAAGTGTGACCTTGACCTTAATCCGGCAAAGGGGTAACATGGGTTCTACAGATAATCTTGTTGAGGTGAATATTTGAGCCAAGATTGAATAAAATCTTTCAATTATTGAAGGACTAACACAGCGGACACAACATTCTGTCTAATATTTGATTGATTTATATTTGACCTTCAATTTTGATTTGACCTTGAGCTGACTCACTGGCAACAAGGGTTCGACATGCACATCCCCTAGTTGGATGAACATTTGAGCCAAGTTTGAAGAAAATCCTTCAATTGGTATAGGATTAATAGAGCGGACACGAAAATGGAGACGGACGGACGTACGGACCGACCGACGCGACTAACCGAATCCATTATAGCCCCCTCCCCCCCCCTAAACACACATTTTGTGGTGGGGGTATAATAACGAAAATCATTTAACGCTACACTAGTCTTAATAAGCGTGCACTATATTTACGATGTAATCATCAATATACATATGATTACAATGGCAATTTTGTTAAAAACTAAAACAGCAGTGCAACGTCTAAAATATACTTCTGTCTGGAACAAAATGACTACATATTCAAGAGCATAACAACAACAACTAAACTGCCATAGAATAAGTTTGCTCATTTACTGAAATACACAATCAAACAAAGATATAAGAATAATACCGGTTTCATTTGAAAACAAATCAATATTGAATCACAAACAAGTACGCTAAATCTAATATATACATGTTCGATGTTTTATGAATTTAAAAAACAGCATTCATTACATAATATGAATTTTACATAATATACAACACGAAAAATATGATAAAGTACTTACATGGATATCCTTTAAAATTTGAACTTGAACAGATAATATAATTATCTAAACTAGGTTAAACAAACAGTTTTGCTTTTCACTTCCTATTCCGATGAAATTTTACAATAACAATTGCAGTTGAATGTGCAATTAAACGTCCTACTTTTTGTGCGTTCATGCGAAAGCCATTTCTACACTGACAAATTTATTGAACAATGCAAATATTGTAAAAGGTCATGATCATTTTATAAATATAATTTTAAATCAAATGTTTATAATTTTTGCAGAAAGAATTTAATCTGATATTATGTATGTAAAACTTACATAAGAATATTTTTTTGAAAACTAAAACATTGCACTCATAATGAATACGGGAGAAGTGAATAGTGTACCGATTTACCGATTTAGTGGTGTAAGCTAACTTAAAGTACAGACAGAATTTTGTCTTACTTTGTCAGTCACATATAATAATTATATATTTATGGTCATATATATTTTATGCAACAATTTGAAGAAAAAACACATTGCTGTTAATTTTTAGAAAAAAAAGAAGAAGAAATCCTGCATAATGTAGGGCTAAATGGCCGCTATAGTCAGGGACTACATAAAGCACCAGCAACATAAGGAACTATCCCTAACGATAAATCCGGATCGAGAGGTCGAAGGTTGGAATTGCACAGGGTGTTTATTGAAGAATTAATGTTTCTTGTGAGACTCGTTCCGAAATGACCGCTACCGCCAGGTAATTAAAATGAATGGTTACCGATTTTTATCCGCCTGGCGCCTGACATAGTGTTAGGAGTTCGGAGGTGCATGGTATGCAAGCAAAAGGTGTCTCATAAGTCAGAAATTGCTGGCCTTTTCAGTAGGGGTGACACTATAATAAACAAGACCTTCACTTTTTACCTTTTTTACTATCTCCCGTTGTGCAAACCACTGTAAAATTATGTTCGTGAAGTACGCGGGCAAACGGGCTGACAGTCTGGCGGGCTAACAGTGTGAACTGGGCGGGCTAGCAGTCTAGCGGGTTAACAGTGTGAACTGGGCGGGCTAGCAGTCAAGCGGGTTAACAGTGGTGAACTGGGCAGGCTAGCAGTGAACCGGGATAACAGTGTGAACTGGGCGGGCTGGCAGGCCAGCGGGCTAACATCTAAAACTTTATTGATTGAACATAAAAATGTTATGATACATTACCTGGCAGTATGAACTGGGCGGGCTAACAGTGTAGCGGGCTAGCAGTGTGAACTGGGCGGGCTGGCGGGCCAGCGGCTAAAATTTTAAAACTTTATATTGATTGAACATAAAAATGTTATGATACATTACCTGGCAATGTGGAGTGGGCGGGCTAACAGTGTAGCGGGATAGCAGTGTGAACTGGTCGGGCTGGCGGGCCAGCGGGCTAAAATCTTAAACTTTATTGATTGAACATAAAAATGTTATGATACATTACCTAGCAGTGTGAATTCGACGGGCTGACAATGTAGCGGGGTAGCAGTGTGAACTGGGCGGGCTGGCGGCCAGCAGGCTAAAGTCTAAAACTTTATTGATTGAACATAAAACGTTATGATACATTACCTGGCAGTGTGAAGTGGGCGGGCTAGTAGTGTAGCGGGCTAGCAGTGTGAACTGGGCGGGCTGGAGGGCCAGCGGGCTAAAATCTAAAACTTTATTGATTCAACATTAAAACCTCATGATACATTTCCTAGCAGTGTGAATTGGACGGGCTGACAGTGTAGCGGGCTAACAGTGTGAACTGGGCGGGCTGGCGGGCCAGCGGGTAAAAACTCTAAA